GGGGGGGGGGGGAGGGAGGGTCTTGGGCTGAAAGAACCTTGTCCCGAGAAAACTAGGAGAAACTTTTCGTCACCAGCACCCAGGGTAGCATGGGGCGCTAGCCCTGGCACTGGGATTTTTGAGGTTCTTGAAACTGGGCCACAGTTAGTGCCCCACGCTACATGTGGCGCTACAAATGGCCATTTTCGAATTTTGCTCCTTTTTTGCTCTAATCTCGCACCTTTTGTCCCATATTGCCTCTGGATGATTCCTACGCATAAAACACCATGAATTATCATTAATCAATACATTTTATATTCGAAATCTACGAAAAACGAGTAAAATGTGAGGTGATATACATATAAATATATATACTTTAAGCTAAATATCAAAAATCTAAAACATACATGAAGGACTTAGCATGAAACTCTTAAAGTAAAACACATTCGAATAAATTCTGGGTAGATATTAGCCTCCACAAAATGGTCCCAAAAATGTAAAGAAGGGCATGAATATGACTCACAACAGGCAGAAAATACAAAATCCAGGGCTAACATGAGCATAACAAATCAGGCAAAACCTAAGAAGGCCAGAAACCATTCGAGTCAAATGCACATAGTGAGAGTACAATATATATGTTGAAGCATATCGAGTTGGATATTAAAAAACATGGGAACTGCAGAACATCATTAATAAAGCATATCGAGTTGGATATTAAAAAACATGGGAACTGCAGAACATCATTAATACAATAGCATTATAGTAAAGCATACAACAATATAATACAGGGGGGTTGACAAATAGCAAAGAAACTTAGGTCATGCTTGTCTATAGAAGTTCAAACAGTACTGGCACGCAGAAGACACTTGCATGAATAAGGAGAGGAGTGACAATTAAGGCTGTAATGGGTCCAGAACACTAACCAGTTGCGAAGATAAACGAGCAAAAGAATGAGAAACTTAGAATCTAGGTAGTGTTAGCAATTGAAAGAGAACAGTGAGAACCCCAAATCCTAGTGCATCAGAGTTCACAGGAGCTTCAGTGAGCCCCTGATAAGTAGGAATTTTGACCGCTTATTTTCTCTCTTTTACTTGTGTTTCAGCTCAAAAATGCTTAAAGGTATTCCCGGGAACTAATAAAATGAGCCTTCTTGTAGGAATATTGGGAAACGATCCAAATAAGTGAAAATCAACTCTTAAAGTAGTCAAAATTGGACAAAGACCAAAACAAGGCAAAAATGCTTACAGTGCGGACCGCACAATACTGTGTGCGGCCACAAACAATGAAGAAGCCCTGTCAGATTAGCTTCAGAGTATGCGGACCGCATAATTTTGGTGCGGCCAAAAAGAGAGATTTAGAGAGTTAGAATTTTGGGCAAGCTAAAGAAATGCGAACTGCACCATTATTGTGCGGTAGTAGGATGCCAAGTGCGGTCACACTAACTATTATGCGACAAGCAAATGACCAGAATCAGAGAGCTTTGATTGAAGCTGTGTGGACCGCACTATTATTGTGCGGCTGCGAGATTCAAAGGTGCGGCTGCATTCATAATTATGCGGTCCGCAGAAGAAGGTCCAAGTCCCAGTCCCAGTCAAGTGTGCGGCCGCACTCAGAAATGTGCAATCCGCACAATTAGATGATATGCGGCCGCATCCTACTTTTATGCGATCGCAGAAGGCCCAATTGACCAGTCAAGCTCAGAGTGCGGAGCGCAATAAGAATTATGTGGCCGCACAACCTCTGCAGGGGCATTTTTGTCAGATATTTTCATCTTAGTATTAATAGAACTTTTTGTCATTTTTAGGGTAAGTTTTGTTTTGGGAGAGCACCTGAGCCATTTTTCTTTACTGTTTTGAGTAATATTGTACTAGCTTAGCTTCTAAACATTAGATTTTCTTTCCCTAATCAATTATTATGCATTCTATCTTAATTTCTTCTTGTATTTCTTCATTTTTCTTGAGTAGCTAAATTTCTAGCTAGGGTTGTAACCCAACCCTAGTGTGGGTACTTAATGGGTGTTTGATTTAGGACTTGTTTGTGATTGGGTTGGTGATATTTAGCCTAGTTCTTGCTTGAATTCAAGAATTAATAGTTGCAAATATTGATTTATGCATAATTGACTTAGTCTCTACTTGAGAAAGAGAGACTAAGTCTAGGAAAACTTGGCTAGCAAGAAATTGGGGTGAACTCAAGAAATTGATAGCCCCAATTTCAAGGGTTGATTCTAGAGATAGGAAGACCCGACTTGATCATTTATCACTTGTTTTGTGCAATACCCATTTGGACTTGAGAAAGCCAAATTGGGCAAAATTACTCAAACTACCGAGAGGTATAGAGTGGGTAATTGCGTGTGATTGCTATATTACAACCCCGACCAATCAAACTTTCCCTAGAATTTACAACCCATTAGGTAACCACCTAGGTGGAAGTCACGACCCTAGATCTTTTATCATTTGAAAAACAACTAAAACAAAAAATATTATTTTCTAGTTTTATAATTGCAATCAATAGTTTAAAGTAGAAGTAGAAATAACAAACAAGAATGTGGAAGTGTAATCTAAGGAATATCGTACAATTACACTAAATATATACCTAATCCCAATTCTAACTCTCTAAGGATTCGACCCCGACTCGCGTTGGGTATTATTATTATTTCGACCGCCTTACTACCTATATTTGTGGTGTGAGTTTGGGCGACATCAACCCCGAGCAGTGCTCGCACTAGGGAGGTTGATAGAGAAGGTTCCGGTGGCCTTGTCTTTCAACCGGCTTCAATCAAGAGTGCAGAATAGTATAGAAAGTGTGAGAGTGAGAGAATAACAGTAGTCAAGGTTTGTCTAGGGGAAACAGGGAAGTTGGTTTTATAGTAGCAAAATTAAACACACAAATAAGGAAAAATAGTCAATTAAAAAAAAAAGGAAAGAATATATCCCATGCACACTAGAAATAGTAGAGGAAGTAAGAATTTCAAACCCTAGTTGGAATTGGATATAGGGCAAACATTCACAAGCCCCAATCACGACAGGATCAACAAAGATATGCCATAACCAAGAGAAATTTCCTTTTCCTAAGTGTATAAAGCCATAATCGCACCCAGATCCATAGGGTCAAAGCCAGATCTATGAGAATCGAACTTGCCATAAGTAGAATGGTATCGAAAGTTACCTTAACTGAGTGATAATAACAGAAAAGGTAAGTAGAATTTGCGTATGAACGCGTATAAGGAAGGCGATGTGAGATCTCTGGGCCTGCTAGGGCTTGAAGAGAGGGTGAGAGAATTTAGGGGAGGCGATCTCAGAGAAATGGTAGGGTTTCAGGCGGGTCTGGTTAATTAAAGAGACGGGGTGATCATGGGTCGTTGATCTTTAGAGATCAACGGCCATGATTAGAAATGAGCGGGATAGGTCATTTTAAATGGATTCAGACCGGGTTAAATGAAGGGGTCATTTCATTTGGGCTGTTGAAGGGTTAAATGGGATGGGCTAAGTGCCTTGGGCATGTGTTTTGTCTGAAATTAGCCCTATAGTGAGCTATAAATTAAATACACAAAATTCATTAAAAAATAAATTATAGAAAATGACTAATAAATAATAAAAATATTATTTATGCAGTGAAATGCTTGAAAATAATAGCTTAACATTATAAAAAATATGAAATGATATTTTGACATAAATAATATAATAAACATAATTATTTATGAAATATAGGCTATTATTGTAACTAGTGAAGATAAAATAGAGAAAATGCAAATATAATTAAGAAAAAATGAGATTAAATATTATAAAATGCATGTGGGTATAAAATGATAAATGTTGATGATTAAATCACCCTAAAAATAATTTAAAAGGATAATTAATAAATATTTACACAAATTAAATACAAGAAAATCAATTTTAAAGCTTTAACAATTATAGAAAATTATAGAAAATACTTATATGACCCTTGTAATAATACAAAATGATATTTTGAAAGTATTTAGAATACTTGGCTTCCACCATTCCTTTGTCACTCTTCTTTGCTTTGCTCCTTTTCATCAGCCCCTCCAGCGCCAAAACCTCTCCCAAACCTCGAGCTCTTCTTCTTCGAGTAACCAAAGATGCAGCCACTAAACAATACGTCACTGTCATTCGCCAAAGAACTCCTCTTGTCCCTATCAAACTAACTGTAGATCTTGGCCAAAGATTTTTATGGGTTGATTGCGAAAAGGGATACGTTAGTTCATCTGTAAAATCTGTTCTCTGTGATTCTACGCCATGTAATCTTTCTAGATCTGGCATGTGTTCTGGTAATTGTTCAGGTTCATCAATTCGTGAGCCAGGGTGCACTTGTTCTCACTTACCATATAACCATATCACACGTACTAACACTGGCTGTGAACTTAAAGATGATGTTATTTCTCTCCAATCTACTGATGGATCCACTTCTGGTCCAATTGTTTCATCTTCTAATTTAGTTTTTGATTGTGTCGTGGCGTTCTTACTTGAAGGTCTAGCTAAAGGAATTGAGGGTATAGCTGCACTTGGAAATGGCTTTGTTGGACTTCCTACACAATTAGCTACTGCTTTTAAAATACCCCGCAAATTTGCTCTTTGTTTGAGCTCTTCCACAAGTTCTTCTGGAGTTATATTTTCGGTCATGATCCTTATGTTTTTCTTCCAGCGATTGAACTTAAAAAAAGATGGACAAGGGCGTATAAAAATCAGTACGGTTGATCCTTATACTGTATTGGACACTACTAGAAATCCGCTAAAAATCGACCAAACAAATCGACCAAAGTTGGTCGGTTATGGCTAATTACCGACCAAAACGCGACTATTAGGGTATGGACGGTGTTTTGATGGTCGGAATGGCTTACCGACCAAAGTTGGTCGGAAATTACCGACCAACGTTGGTCGGTAGCTTAAAACGACCATCTGACAAGTTTAAGTACTTACCGACCAACTTTGGTCGGAAATATATTTTATTAATTTAATTTTACCTACCAAAGTTGGTCGGTTTAACTAAATTATATTTTTTTATTAATTATTAAAATTAAAAAAATCGACCAACTTTGGTCGGTAATTGAAAAAATATATATATTTTTAAAATAATTAAAATTAAACATTACCGACCAACTATGGTCGGTAACCTCAATAGTGCAGACAAAATACCGACCAAAGTTGGTTGGTAATGTTGAATTCTGGGAATTCAATGTTCATTAACCGACCAACTTTGGTCGGTATTTTGGAATAATTGTTTTTATTAAAAACCGACCAACTTTGGTCAGTTTTTCTAGGTTTAATTTTGGCATAAAATGCTTGTTTTGGCAGCTAGACCACCTGCCAGCATACCAATACACCTAATAACAACAACAACAACACAACAACAACAACAACAACAACAACAACAACAACAACAACACAAAGTTGGTCGGTAGCTTAAAACGACCATCTGACAAGTTTAAGTACTTACCGACCAACTTTGGTCGGAAATATATTTTATTAATTTAATTTTACCTACCAAAGTTGGTCGGTTTAACTAAATTATATTTTTTTTATTAATTATTAAAATTAAAAAAATCGACCAACTTTGGTCGGTAATTGAAAAAAAAATATATTTTTAAAATAATTATAATTAAACATTACCGACCAACTATGGTCGGTAACCTCAACAGTGCAGACAAAATACCGACCAAAGTTGGTCGGTAATGTTTAATTATAATTATTTTAAAAATATATATATTTTTAAAATAATTATAATTAAACATTACCGACCAACTTTGGTCGGTATTTTGGAATAATTTTTTTTTTATTAAAAACCGACCAACTTTGGTCAGTTTTTCTAGGTTTAATTTTGGCATAAAATGCCTGTTTTGGCAGCTAGACCACCTGCCAGCATACCAATACACCTAACAACAACAACAACAACAACAACAACAACAATAACAACAACAACACAACAACAACAACCAAAACATTCAATAAATACTTTAAAACTAACAAATTAAAGTTCAATTGAACATAAAATTTCAAAACCAAGTTAAAACTAATTACAACTAGTTCAAAACTGGTTCTATTTGTCTAGTTCAAAGTATATAAAAGTCAAGGGGTGTTTTCTACAATATCATCATCACCGTCTGATGAACTTCCATTTACAAGACGGTATAGAGAACGGTCTTGTGGAGGACGGGAAGAACGATCACGGGAGGACGGGAGGAACGATCACGAGCAGGACGGGAGGAACGATCACGTGGAGGTCGACCCTCTAGAGATGACTCACGAGATCGGGGTAACGGAAAAGCTCCACTAGATAGGAGAGTTCTGATCTGAGCTTGCATGCCAAGGAATTGAGCATCTCTAAACCTTTATCTTTCCTTGGCCGCTTCTAGCTTGGATGTGAGCTTTGTCACTGTCTCCCGCATAGCGGAGAGGCTGTCACGACCCAAAATTTCCCACCGATGGGACCGTGATGGCGCCTAACATTTCACTTGCTAGGCAAGCCAACGTTAGAGAATTATTAAACCAATTCCTTATTTCCATTTAATAATTAAAATACTTAACTAAGATGAAATATAATAAGTGTGGAATATCATAAAAACTGTATTAATTACTACCACCCGGATCTGGAGTCACAATTCACGAGCATTCTAGAATTTACTATAAGTAATAGTCTGAAAGAAATACAACTGTCTGAATGAAAGAGACAGTAGAACATAAAAGATAGATGGGGACTTCAAGGTCTGTGTACGCCGACAGATCTACCTTGAGTCTGCGGATAGCGGACCAATAGTAAAATCTCGATCAACCCGAGCCGGTATCAAAATCTGCACAGAAAGTCCAGAGTGCAGTATCAGTACAACCGACCCCATGTACTGGCAAGTGTCGAGCCTAACCTCGACGAAGTAGTGACGAGGATAAGGCAAGGCACCTAAAAATCAACCTGTACAATTTAACAGTATATATACACATAACAGAAATGAAGAACTAAACAGGAAATGTCGGGAGGGGAACATACTGAGGGGAATACAAGATAAAGGACTATAACAGAATTATCACCGGAGCAGACAATATACCATGAATCTACAGAAATAGTGAATACAGTAAGAAAAAATGCACGGCATCACCCTTCGTGCTTTTACTCTCAATCTCACCATAAAATTAATAGAAACGGCACGACATCACCCTTCGTGCATTAACTCTCATATCATGATACGGCATCACCCTTCGTGTATTAACACTCACAATATGGCACGACATCACCCTTCGTGCATTAATACTCACAATATGGCACGGCATCACCCTTCGTGCATTAACACTCATAAATGGCACGGCATCACCCTTCGTGCATTAACACTCTCCCTTACCATAATGCAATGCATAAATATCAACAGAGAGATAGAATAACAAGTACAAATCTTACTTCAACATTTGGTTCCATAACATCAATCTCAACCTTGAGAAACATGGAAAACAGGTATAGGAATGAGACAATATAAATTGAACAACACTAGTATAACACATCGCAATTAGGCATAGGAATGAGACAATATAAGAAAAACTAAGAAACATGGAAAACAGGTAAATTGGCGGCGCATAAGTACTCGTCACCTCACATATATGCCGCTCACATGAATTTCACTTAGCAAGTAATCTAAGGTTCCTTATTCCCTCAAGTCAGGGTTAGACACAACACTTACCTCGCTTCAAAGGCCACTTAATTCCCAATCACAGCTTTTCCTTTGGAATTCACCTCAAAACCACTTGTATCTATTCAAAAATGACTCAATAATATCAAATACTGCTAAAGGAATCAATTATATTGCATAAATTAAATTTCCCAAATTTCCTCCAAAAAATCGAAAAATTGACCCCGGGCCTGCTTGGTCAAAACTTGAGGTTCGGACCAAAATTCTTTTACCCATTCACCCCCAAGCCCGAATATGTAATTAGTTTTGGAATCCGACCTCAAATTGAGGTCTAAATCCTCAAATTTCGAAATTCCTAAGTTCTACCCAAAAATCCTAATTTCACCATAAAAATTCTAGATTCTAGGTTGAAATCTTGTTATAAGATGTAAAAGATTGAAAGAAAAGAGTTAGGAATCACTTAACTATGATTTGGGGAAGATTTGGTCTTTGAAAAATTACCTTTTAAGGTTTAGGGTTTTGAAAATATAAAAATGGATGAAAAATCCCGTCTAAGTCCCTTTTACTCAGTTGCAGGTGTCGCAATTGCGACCTGAGCTTCGCAAGTGCGAAGCTTGCAAATGTGAAGGAACACTCGCAATTGCGATTCCCTTCACAGTCCCGCTGCATTCGCAAATGCGAGGAAAGTGTCGCATTTGCGACCATTGAATCTTCGCAAATGCGACAAAATGATGGTAAATGCGAAAGAAAACTCGCAATTGCGAGAACTGTTGGCCTAGGCTTTCTTCGCAATTGCGATATAAACCTCGCAATTGCGATACCTGCATGGTTCGCATTTGCGATGCCTGATCTCACAATTGCGAGATCAGAGGCCTGCAATAGGTTCAGTTATACCAGCAAAATTTTATAAGTTCAAAACATCCCGTGGCCTATCCGAAACTCACCCGAGCCCTCGGGGCTCTAAACCAAATATGCAGGCAAGTCTAAAAATATCATACGAACTTGCTCACGCAATCAAATTGCCAAAATAACACCTAGAACTATGAATTTAGTACCAAATCAAATGAAATTCTCAAAAAAACTTTAAAATTTTTATTTTCTCAACTGGACGTCTGAATCACGTCAAATCAACTCCGTTTCTCACCAAATTTCACAGACAAGTCTTAAATATCATAATGAACCTGTAACGGGCTCCGAAACCAAAATACGAACCCGATACTAACAATGCCAAATATCAATCAATTCTTAAAAAAAAATAATTTCTAAACTTTTAATTTTCATAAAAATATCATAACTCAAGCTAGGGACCTCCGAATTCAATTCCGGGCATAGGCCCAGGTCCCATAATTTGATACGGACCTACCGTGACCGTCAATGCACAGATCCGGGCCCATTTACCAAAAATATTGATCGAAGTTAACTAAAATTAACTTTTAAAGCAAATATTCTTATTTTTATTAGTTTTCAACATAAAAGCTTTTTGAAAACCTGCCCGGACTGTGCACGCAAATCGAGGAGGGTAAAAATGAGATTTTTACGGCTTAAGAGCGCAGATTCGAGTTCTGAAATATAAGATGACCTTTTGGGTCATCACATTCTCCACCTCTAAAACAACCGTTCGTCCTCGAACGAACATAAAAAAGTACTTGGGCTGGTGAAAAGGTGGGGATATCTACTTCGCATAAGGGACTCGGACTCCCAAGTAGCTGCCTCAATAGGCTGACCTCTCCACTGCACTCGAACTGAAGGGTAACTCTTTGATCTCAACTGGAAAACTTGCTGGGCTAGAATTGCCACCGGCTCCTCCTCGTAAGTCAAATCCTTATCCAACTGGACAGAGCTGAAATCTAACACACGGGACGGATCGCCGTGATACTTTCAAAGCATGGACACATGGAATACCGGATGAACATCTGCTAAACTAGGTGGCAACGCAAACCTGTAAGCCACCTCTCCCACTCTCTCTAGAATCTCAAAAGTTCGGATATACCTAGGGCTCAACTTGCCCTTCTTTCCGAACCTCATTACACCCTTCATGGGTGATACTCGTAGTAACACTCTCTCTCCGACCATGAATGCAACATCATGAACTCTACGG